GTATATGTGAACAGATTCTTTACCGTAAATCGACGTTTTCTCAAAAACGGTTCGACCGATTTTAAAAATTTAAAAGCCATTCGATATATCTAGATAAGGACTAGCGTTTCTGAGTTTTATGCGACGATCGTCCTAGCCATTTCTTTATAAATAGCAGAAAAGTGAAAAAAAATTCGTCCACGTTTTAGCCCGCAATTCTGAATCGATTCTGAAAATTCAAAAACTGTTCGAAAGATATTGGTTGAGAATCGTGCTGATTAGTTTTTGGTAAAGATCGGCTGGGCCGTTTTCTTGTAATAGTTTTTTTTTTTTTAAATTCGTCGATTTTTTTTGACAGTAGATATCATAGTCTTCTAGATCATACTAAAATATTACCGCCCTACGACAACTCGTTTAGCTTTAAAAATTCGTCAAAATTTGCAAAAATTGGTATCGTTTTCTTGGCATTTGTCAAAATTAGACCTTTCATCGATGTTTGCTCGAAAACGCCTGAACCGATTTCAGAAATTTAAAAGCCATTCGATGTATCTCTATGAGCACTATAGTTTGTCATGTTTGAATCGATTTTAAAAAATCAAAAACTGTTCGAAAGATGTTAGTTGGGAATAATACTGATTAGTTTTAGGTGAAAATATACCGAGCCGTTTTCTTGTAATTAACTGTTGAAAGAAAAATTTAAACCGATTTTTATGAAACTTTGTTTGGCGATGTATATCATGGTCTTATAGAACTTACTGAAATATTACGGTTTTACGACAAGTAGTTTAATTTTAAAAATTCATCCAAAGTTTGAGAATATGAGTAGTTTTGTTGACGTTTGTTAAATTAAAATTAGATGATTTCTTGGTATAACAATAGATTACTTGGTCTTAATGAACATACTAAACCATTAAAATGTTCTAAGAAAACTGGTTCAATTATAACATGTTTGTTCGTTTTCAATTATGTATAAAAATCCTCTTGGAATGCTTCTAGTCACTCATAAATTAATTTGTTTATTATTGATTAAGTCAATTATTTACACATATCGGGAAGTTCATGTAATTTGCCTCAAGGCTAAATACCAATACCAACTAGTTTATTAACTTCCCGTAGGGTAAGTTATTGTAATGGGCCGAAAATCGAAATTGAAAATTTTTACATTTCTCGACGTTTTAAAGGTTTCTGAACATCCTGGCATACCTCAGAAAAAATGGATGTGTGTGTGTATGTATGTATGGATACAAATTTCCAGTCACGTTTTCGGGCGCACGCGTAGATAAAAGAAGAGTATATAGATCGCTCTCTCGGCCATATTTCGTTGCCACATTCTGTGTTAGTTGAAGCTCCTCTCTACAGATGGCACTAGTCGCCTGAACGGGTCCGTATAAAAAATACTATAGAAAACAACCAAAATTATATGGACCGTTAATTCAAAATTAAAAAAAGAAAAATTGACAAAAAAAATTTTAGAAGCATTTATTTTTCACAAAAACATTCACATTATATCTACATAGTAGTTCTCTTTATAAACAATGCACACATAGCATGGAAATTATATATGACTATAATAGATGGTAGTAAGCTTATAAAACTATGTGCGAAAAGCATAAAAATGTACATAAATGTACACGCTATCCACAATTATATATATATATATATATATATATATATATATGTGGTGTGTGTGGTGTGTGTGTGTGTGTGTGTTATATCATTTAGCATATCAGCCTTTCAAGCTGAGCACAAAAAGAATAGAAATGTACATGAAAGTATATATTATTTATATAGATATATACCTACATATACATATATAACCACAATTCATACCTGCATGTGTATGTATATATTATATATATATATATTATATATAATATATATATATTTACATATATATTTATTTTGATTAACATTAAGTTACATAATATCTATGATGTACAGTCTCTATTTGGGAATCTTTTCTGCGCTATTGTTAATGTGCATTCAAATGTTGTTCAAAATGTCATTATTATCATTGTCTTAAAGAAAAACAAAATCATTGATATTATTATAACAGTACTTAATAGTTTTCTTATAGCATCTACAATAAGACATTTTAGAGTAAAGCTATTGACAATCTCTTTCAGAATAGTCAAATGCAATAAGCAGTGCACATTAAGGTTGTTTTATCCCTTTGCACTAGGTAGAATTTTATCATTAATCATGATTATACTTTGCCTGTCATTTGACAGTTCCTGAAAATCTATACAATATGATTCCCTTTATCATCATTAAACAACACAGATAATAATATTTCTTGTAATATCAAAATGAAATTATTAATACTTAAAAACTTTTCTCCTGTGACATAGCCAAACCTAAATTAACCTTTGCACTAGCTAGAATTTTACCATTAATTGAGAATTTCCTTCCACTTACGATTATATCATTAGTGTTCTTAGTATGTTCTCCAAACTGACTTAATATATAATTACGAGTCCTACTGTTCAATATTAGTGGGAGATCAGCAAAGATTTCAGCACATTTCAGACTTCATTCTTATTGTTTTTTCCTGTATATTCATTCATCTCATATCAATACTTGTATACTTGTGAATGTGTTTATTAAATCGTCTAAACATTTTACAATTAAACGTATTTTCCTTTTATACTGCTGAAAAAATCGATGTAGAATTATTAGTTATGAACCTACATTATTAGAACAAGAATAATTTATATTTAGTTATTTAATAACATACCTTTCAGAGAGCTGACAGGAATTCTCTCTGTCTATTTATAATCTTAAAATTTCTAGTATTGATATAGTTAAATGTCTCAGTTATTACTAAACTATTAAACTATAATGAAAAATCATATCAGAATAGTACAATCAAATGAAAGTAATTTGAAGTATGCATATTAATAAAAGTACTCACTTAGATTGAAAGCCGGCAAATTTTATTAACCATTTTACTTTTACTTCGTCGTTTCTCGCGGGAACTACATAATACATGCATTTTTCTTGGTATTTCTTCATCGTTAAACAATGCACTTCGACAGCTTATTTGGTTTACTATAACAAGCGTTTATTTGTTTATTATATTGTCTAGGTCATAGGTGGGGAACCTGCGGCCTCCGGGAAGTTCTTGTGCGGCCCCTTGCCGCCTAGTACAAAATAGCAGAAATACTTTTAAACAACTGTACATCAACGTCATGGCAGTACCGCAAAAAATCTCATCAAAAACAGTCATATTGTAACATGACATCAGATTATTAGCCTGAAACACAGACTCTTAGGCAGATACAAAATAGGGATGTAGTATATTATATTAATATAATTTAATATAAGCAATACTTTTGATATCGCAAGACATCGCCTATTATATGATTCAAGAAGTATTATAAACATTTTAACAATGCAAAAGAATTGTTAGCACCCGAGTTGAAGATATTTATGCGTATTCGTAGTAAAATGATAAAAATTTATACTTCTCGCAACCAAAAGCAAATCCGCAGCTTTGGCGGAGATCGGAGCAACCAGATTTTACCTAGATATATTGGCAATTTTATGAGACCATAGTTATAAAATAACACAAAACTATACCCTTTTTCATAAAATACAAAAGTATATTTTTAAAAATTGCTGTATATTTCGAACGTGTAATGAGATGAAATCGACGTTTGTTGCAAATTTTAGTTTGCTTTCATTTGATTTAAACATTTATTTTTATATAAAAATTATCTTAAAGCTTTTTATTTAACATTAATGTTGTACATTTGCATCAGATAAATACGGAATGAATTTGGTCGCGAATAAATAGCTCGAAATATTGTTCAAACGTAGTCTGATAGCAGTTCAATAACAAATTTATTATTCACGTTTTACATTATATTAGCGCCTAATTTTCGCCTGAAGCATGGCCTTAATCTTGGAATATACGTCTACATTTACAATAATGCCCATAACAAGAAAGGGCCGTGCAATGCCGATTTGAGCAATGAAATTATTTTCCAATAGAATGACTCATATTTTTTGAGATGCAAATGAAAAAAGAAAAACTCGAGAAAAATTAATGTTATAATTATTAGGAAGGGCAAAATAACGAATTATTTGATTTTTATTTATATGAATAAAATGTGGCAAACTTTATGTATGCAATATTAAATTTTTTGTAGTACATAAAATATTTTTCATTAAATAATAATACACAAGCTTTCCGTTCTTACTGTATTCATTTCGAGGATTTATTATATATAAAAAAAATTTATTCTCATATTTTCATTGTTACATATTTGAGATAAAAAAATATATATTATTAGATAGATTTTTATTTTGCAAACTAAGGTGTTAACGGTTAATTACAGAATTATCGGCTTTGGAAAAACCAGATTAAATTCATTTGTGAACTTTCGGTATGTATATTCCGACTTGTTGTCATTCAGGACAATGGTTATCATAATAATTTTTTGTTTGTAATATTGTTATATTATTTTATATTATTATTATATATTATATTATATTTAAAATTGTGAAGTACTTTGTTTACTTTTTTTCTATATAATGCAACAAATTGTTAAAACTAGAAATAAAACTATAATAATTTCGCAAAAGGCACTTTTTAGGTCAATCAGCATATGCGGCCACTTTTATTGCTGCCTAATTTAAGTATGGTCTCTAATGGCAGAAAGGTTCCCCACCTCTGGTCTAGGTAATCTCTTCATGAAAAATTTATTACAATGGACGCCATGTTGATTTCAAAGTAAAAAAAAAATGAAAACAAGCGCGACCGGCGGCAGGGGCTCTAACTAAACTCGGGTTACAGACTTGTTCGGAGATTACCGACCATGGTTGTACCTTTGTGCTGCTATGTTTGTGTTGCTATGTTTATATTTATGTCAAACGTCAAAATGATACATTTATTCCTAACCTACAAATAGTTTGCAATAGCTTTTAAAACAACATTAATAAATAAAGCATAACGTATTATTATATATGATATAGTTATTTTATATATATAAATACTTAAGTTTATATATATTATAATGTCGGAGGAAACCAATTCCTATACGAACGAGCATAAAACAGAACTGCCAGAAGATACAATCAGGGACTTTCATGATCTTGATGATATTATTAATTCTAATTCATATTTTGAAGATGACGATACGTGTTTGGAAAGATTCCTGAAGTCTGATGTGACTATAGAAGAAGAATTCAAACAGGAATTAATTCAGCAGGCACCTCCTTATAAATGTGACACCTGCGATAGATCTTTTAAAAGACTACATGATTTAAAACGTCATAAGGTAGTGCATAGTTTTAAATGTAGTTATTGTTCAAAGACTTTTCAATTATCAAGTCATTTATACTTGCATCACAAAACTCATACTGGAGAACAACCATATAAATGTGATATATGTAACAAGGCATTTAATCGATTAGATAATTTGAAACAACATATGTATATTCATAGTGAAGAACGTACTTTTGAATGTGATCTTTGCGATAGCAAATTCAAACAATCGTGCCAATTATCTAAGCACAAGCTTATTCACAATAAAAAGAAACGTTATAAATGTATAATATGCGATAAGAAATTCACACAATCAAGCCATCTGAAAAGCCACTTGTTGATACACACAGGAGAGCGTCCTTATAGATGCAAAATTTGTGGTGAAAGCTTTAATCAATCAAATCTGTTAAAAAACCATATGCATATTCATACCGGGAAACCTCCATCTGAAGAAGAACAGAAATTAAATAAAACATCGACTTATAAATGTAACATGTGTGAGAGATCTTTTAAAAGACAATATCATTTAAAACAACATCTCAAAACTCATGTTTGTAAATGTACATATTGCCCAATGATTTTTCCAGATTCAAGTTATTTAAAGTTGCATCTCAGAATTCACACCAGTGAAATGTCTTGTGAAATATGTAATAAAACATTTGCCGGAAAGAAGAGTTTAAATAAACACATCTCTATTCATACTGAAGAGCAACAACATAAATGTGATATATGTAACAAGGCATTTAATCGATTGGATAATTTGAAACAACATAAGTTCACTCATAGCGATGAACGCCCTTTTGAATGTGGTATATGTGGTAGCAAATTCAAACAATCAGGCCAATTATCTAAGCACAAGATTATACACACTGATGAAAAACGTTGTACATGTATAATATGCGATAAGAAATTTGCACGACCAGCCAATCTGAAAAGCCACATGCTTATCCACATAAGAAAATGCCCTTATACTTGTAAAATTTGTGGTAAAGGTTTTAAACAACCAACTCATTTAAAACTTCATATGCATACTCATACTGGGAAGCGTCCATCTGCAGAAGTCGAGCAGGAATCAATTCTTACATCGACTTATAAATGTGACATGTGTGATAGATCTTTTGAAAAACAGTATGATTTGAAAAGTCACACAGAAGCTCATGATCTCAAATGTAAATATTGTTCAAAGACTTTTTTATATAGAAGCTATTTAAAGCGGCATTTCAGAATTCATACCGGGGAAAAGCCTTATTTTTGCAAAATATGTGATAAGGCATTTACTACTCATTACGGTTTATATAAACACACCAAGATTCATACTGCAGAGCAACCATATGAATGTGATATATGTAACGAGGCATTTAATCGATTGGATAATTTGAAACAACATATGTTCACTCATAGCGATGAACGCCCTTTTGAATGCGGTATATGTGGTAGCAAATTTAAACAATCAGGCCAATTATCTAAGCACAAGCTTATACACACTGATGAAAAACGTTGTACATGTATAATATGCGATAAGAAATTTGCACGACCAGCCAATCTGAAAAGCCACATGCGTATCCACATAGGAGACACATTGTGAAATTTGTAATAAAGGTTTTAATCAATCCACTCATTTGGAAAACCATATACTTTTTTTTTCATTTGTACGAGTGAGTAACAAAAACAATCAAGCTTTCTGAGAAGGCACCTTGTCCTTTAACCAACACAGTTTATTATATGTGATGAAAATCAATGAATTATTATTTTAATTTAATTTTACTTATTATCAACAAGTACTAATTAGGAGTGTGAATATATTTTTTTTGAGGTGATTTAACTTACATAGTAAACAGATTTAGAGGGCAATTCTGTCTCATAATATAGCGTTGTCATGGCAATGCTATTTTATGCTTGTTCCTTGTAAGTGAAACAGTAAAAATATCAATCTATTTACCGTGCAATCAGGCGTATTTTACATATAAACAAGCAAATAATAATATTATGATAACTGCACCGTCTAGAATTATGTTATCATAACATTCTTCCCATAGCATAAGATAGCGTTGCCAAGACAAAGCTATTTTATGAGGCAGAATTGCCTCCTTAATATATTTAAATACACACACCAAACGATTGTGTTTGTAATTTTACAAAGTGACCAATTTGTAAAACTAAATCATGTTCTAGAATAAAGATGATTTAATTGAATAATTTGATTTTAATTTTTCAATGTAATTCTATGACATGTATAAATAAAAAAGTTGCTGTTTGGCATTGAAGTGTTTTTTGTAAATGATTTTGCAATAAGGGGGCGTCCATTAATCACGTGAGGTTTTTAGGACGAGGGGGGGTTTAACAAAAATCACGTAGAGGGGAGTAGTGTAGTTAGATATCACGTGTATTTATTTTTTACCCATTAAAAAAAAACTTCATTCGAAAAATTTTACGTAATTAAAAATACGTGATGTTTGCTGGGTGAGGGCGAGTAATTTAAAATATCACGTGGTATCACCAAAGTGGGTGGTTCAAAAATCCGTAAAAAATCGATCACGTGATTAATGGACGCTCCCTCAATAATGTCAGTTTTTAAATTACTCGTGGGGTAAGTTATAGTAATCGTCCAAAAATCTAAAATGTTAAAATTATAGCATATTTTTACGTTTTAGAGGTTTCTGAACATTTTGGATTTGTATGGTTAAAAAAACATTCGATTCCGATTGATAGGGAGATATGCTGATTAGTTTTTGACAAAAGTCGGTCTAGCCTTCTTGGAGTTACTGAGCAAAGAAAATAGAAATCGAGTTTTTGAGTAAACAGTGTATCCGATTTGAATGATACAGAAACAATCCAATGGGGAGAAGTGGTTGTTAGTTTTTGGCAAAGGCAGATCCAGCCGTTTTGGAGATACCGAGCTAAATGTGCTAAAAAATGGCTGTTTCCAAGAGAACTAAGCATCCGATTTGAAAGATTCAAAAAACTTTTTGCTTTATTGCTCAACGTTTTGAAGGTTTCTGAACATTTTAGCATACCTCAAAAAAAATGAATGTGTATGGACACAAATATCCAGTCACGTTTACGGGCGCACGGATCAACCGATTTGAATGGTTCAAAAAACATTCTATTCCTATTGATAGGGAGATGAGCTGATTAGTTTTTGGCGAAGGCAGGTCCAGCAGTTACGGAGATAAAAAGCAAAGAGTGCAGAAAATAGAAATCGAGTTTTTTTAGAGAACGGAGGATCCGATTTGAATGATCTTAAAAACATTCAATTGGTAATTATTGGGAGAAGTGTTCATTAGTTTTTGGCAAAAGCAGGCCCAGCCATTTCGAAGATACGGAGCTAAATATTCAAAAAATGGCAGTTTTTGAGAGAACTAAGCGTCCGATTGAAATGATTCAAAGAACTCTTTGCTTGTCCTAACAAAATAATTAATTTTGGATTTTTTTTCCAAAAAAAAATTTTTTTTGTATATCGAAAATAATTCAGATTTTATTTTTAATTCTGACTACAGTTCTAATATACTTTAAACAAATAATTTCAACTTTGCAATTCAGTTTATATAATTCTTATAAATATTAAACAATGTTACAATATTTATAATAATCTATTTGAAAACATTCAGTATTCGTCGAACATTCCGTTACGGTACGGGAAGTTTCAGCAATTTGCCTTAAGGCACGATGCCATACACCTCACCCCCATAATGTTAGTAATTTGAACTAAATTCTATAACAATTTGTTAATGATTTGTTATATTCATTTACATCTATAATAGGTTTTCGAATTTTGAATTTGAAATTAGCACTTTTTGTGGCGCAACTGTTCATCGACAACTCTGAACTGTGAAGTTGCACATCTTCATATACATCCATTGCATCTATGGGCGACCTGTCAGACTTGTTGAAAGCGTTTTAGTTAGTTTTAGTTCTTTTTATTCTGAGACTTTATTGGAAACACATGGCAAAAGAAAGACCCTTTCAACAAGTGAGAACTTTAGAAATACTGTAGTTAGTTGTGCAATAAATATTTCGCATTCGGTAACTCATAAAGTGACATAACAGTTTGTGAAAGTGCAATCTTAGTTCAAGTTGCAACGCGTTCCTTGGCATCGTGTAAAAGTGTAAAAGTTTGTGTCTGAAAATGGAAAAATGGTGCCCCCTTAGCAGCCACGAGCGGCTAATCAAATAATATCTGAAGTGTATGATAATAGGTATATTTTTATTATATTGCTGGTGGAGTGTCATTGTCGATTTCTCTAAATTTTTGACGTCCTCATTAACTATGAGTTTAATCGACCATTAATATTACAATTGAAGTAGTTTACTTTTGATGTATTTATTGAGCAATTATTATCCTATTACAAAATATTTGAAATATTCACATAGGCTCTGTATTATTTTTTTCCTCGATTCAGATTCAGAACCACAATTAAAGATAGCAGCCCTTAACAGGTTATATCTGCGGAGGGATCAGAAAGACCTCTCTAGAAAGGGCTTATTTTATTTTAAAGCTTTGAGATCTAAAGGTATTATACTTGTTTAGTAGTTTACTTATCACTTCATTAAAAGTCACTTGCAGCTCTGGGCAAATTATAATTGAACAGTATGTCAAAACAAATTCACTGAAAATTTTTATTCTATTTTAGTTTAGATCTGGTCTCAAAATGGAACAATGGAGCTCCCTTAGCAGTCGGAAATGACTAATCAAATGGTATTTGAAAGGTATGATATCAGGCATTTAGTGCACACTTTTATTATATTGCTGGTAGATTTTCATTGTCAATTTCTCTAAATTTTTGATGTCTTCATTAACAATGAGTTTATTTGGCCAATAATATTACAATTGTAATAGTTTACTTTTGATGTATCAATTGAGCAATAATTATCATATTAAAAATATATGAAATATTTATACACTAATAATTCATATGTCAATTATAGATTTTGGTGCATAGGCTTCGTATTAATTTTTTTTCTTGATTCAGGTTGCCGGAGAACCACAATTAAGGATAGCATCCCTTCAGACATGATACCTACGGAGAAATCAGAAAGACTTCTCTAGGAAGCGCTATTATTGAGCGGAATTTGCTTTGAGATGTTAAGTAACTAAACTTATTTACTTATATATTTATTTATTTCATTCTTCTTATATTTGTTTCATTATGCATATGCTTTTTTTAAATATTTATTATATTTCAATATTCAGTTTATTACTTATTCATTTATTTTTCTTATTTAACTACATAATTATTTTTTATTTATGTGTCCTTCGGTAATTTACTTCAGTATTTCATCATTTTTATTTATCTATATGTTTGATTATTTATTTAATCAATTATATATTTATCCACACTTTTATTTTTTTAATTATGTCTCATCAATATCTACTTATCTTTTTATGTATTATTATTTATTTATACATTTCGATATTTGACTGAATATTTATCTTGATCTTATACATTTGTTCCATTACGTATTTATTTATAAATTATTTTCATTTGATTTATTTTTTTATTTATTAATTTACTAACATATTTACTATTTGTTTATTTAATTACATATTTGTTTATTCATTTATATAAATTATTAATCAATTTGTTTTATTTATGCAGTATTTATTTACGATTTTTTGTTTGTTTATTCACTTAATTTATTGTTTTGTTTTACATATTTATTCATAAATTATCATTTTATTTGTGTATGTTATTTACCTATTTATTTATACAATTATATATTTGTTTATGCATTTATATAAAATATTAATCAATGCACTTTTTTCTTTATGCAGTTTCTATTTACCTTTTTTTTTGTTTATTCACTTAATGTATTTGTTTTTTTACATGTTTACAACATTTCACTTATTTGTTCATAAAATTATTTTTTTATTTATTATTATTTTATTCATTAATTTACCTATTTTTCATTTCAATCATAGTTTTTCATATATTAATATATGAAATAATATATTTCAATATTGCGTTCATATTTTCATTAATTCATTCATTTTTTTTTTTTATTAACAGATACTTATATAACAAATATATTTGTTCATTCAATTTTTATTTTCATAAGCTTTATTATCTTGAGTATGTTTTTTAATTTTTATTTATAAATATTTATATTTACCATTTTATTTTATTTTTAGTATTTTTATTTTGTACTTTTATTTTTTATATTTAGTTTTATATATTTGTATTTTTCTTTTCATTTTTAAATTTTATTTTATATTAATTTTAACAGTTTATATTTTATTATTATTGATATGTTTTTATTTTTATTTGTATTTGGATTTTTATTTTTATTTTAATTTACATTTTTATTAGTATTCTTATTATGTTTGGTATTTATGGTTTTTAGTATATATATTTAATTATTTTTTATTTTTTATTTTATTTTTTATTTATATTTTCAAAATTTCCTGTTTATGTTTGTTTTAATCTTCAGCATTCTTAAAATGAAGTATTAAATTTATTTTTATTTAATTTGATTTTTAATATTTTAATTATTATTTTTATTTTATTTTTCAAATTATCTTAATTACTTTAGTATATTTACCATTTTTATTTATATTATGTTATATTTATTTTTTATTTATATTTTATTTTACTTTTAGTATTTCATATTTTAATTTTCTCTTTATTCATTCATTTTTTTACATCTTTTTATTTGTATTTCAATTTATATTTCTATTTTGGTTATTATAATTTTTTAGTTACATTTTCATATTAATTTCATTTTTTTTTTATTAAATAAATCATATGTAATAATTCTTTTTAACAAAGATATATTATGTCATCAACTTAATTTTAATTGTTACCTGTTTTAATTGTGAAATGTTACCTGAGCTCTCTCATAATAGTATTGTGAATTTTAATAATTTATAATCAATATCAGTGTCCGTTGCAAACATACACATTTTATTTAAATATATAATATTAATAATATATGCATGTTACCTAGTTGTGTTATTAATATTTAATTATTCTTCGACAGCCTTTAGATATTTTGACTTTGACAGCAACCAGCAGATTTCATATCAAAGTACGGATAACTTGCAGAATTGCTAACTATCAATGTCAAAGTTCAAATTAAGGAGAAAAAGAAGCGGAAAGGCCACATTAAATACTTGGATTTTGGTATCTACATAAGACAAGTGTGTATTAACAATAAATCGGTATTCATATATTTTTTTACATTAAATTACCTTACTTTTTCCATTTTCACCCTAAACACGTTTTATTTGAAACCACTTTGAAACTTATATATTACTATTTTTAATGTTAATTAATGTTTATAAGCAAACATAATGCAAATTTGAACATAAAATCACTTGAAATTTTTCACACATTCAATATATAGTCAAGTATACATGTATATTACTCAAAACTGTTATAGATGTTAATTCAATTTTTGGTAAGTGCTAATAAAACTTTTTTTTTTTAATTCAAAATTGGATACAATTTTTTTTATTAAAAAATTTCCAGAAGGACCTAATCTATTTTTCCAAAACAAAAAAATACATAAAATTGCAAAAAAATTTAATAAAAACTGAAAAAGTTTAGCTTACAAAGAACTTTTGTGAATTTGAATTATACTATAGTTATTTATTATTGTAATATTGCAAGAAATTGTGGTACTTATATATTTTTTTATTGCTGTGCAGTTAAGCTTGTTTTTCTTTCAATTTTATTAATATTAAACTATTCTTTCTATTATAATTTTTAGAAATATGTCTGGAGAAAATCAG